TTAATTCTTGAAATAAATCAAATTCACGCTCTCGAATATACTCACACACTTAAAGAAAGTGACCATTTAAACTCGTGCACGTAGCACGGAATAGAACCGCACGCTGTGGACATAGCGTACCGACATGTCGCTCGTGGAGTGGCTGCGTAGTTCCAATGTGTACCACCCGTGGACGTGCGCTAGTTTACGGGGCGGAAAAGTGATTACACATTCTCTTATGGACCTGGCCGCTCTCAGGCTTCTCTCTGGCTGAACAAACAGAAAGTCTCTCAAACGGAATCTCTTGTTTGTTTGTGATTGGTCGATCTTCCACACTTGTCTTCCCGCTTCGGTTTTTTCGGACCACATGTGATCACACCCTAACCTAAACGGCCGATTTATTCTGTTGGAATGTACCAATCACGGTCGACTCTTAATCGGCCGATTAATTTAATCGGAGATGGGATGAACTGGACCTATTGATGATAAATATATGTATGCATGTATATAGTTGATACACGAGAGAGAAAAAGAAAGAGACAGAGAAAGAGAGAATTGCGAATAGCGAGCGACAGAGAGAAGAGATTTGCGGACAGTTTGCAAAGAAGAAGAAAAATGGTGAAGGAAACTGAAGACCGACGACGAATGATTAGCTGATTTTAGTATGCTCGAAATTTGGTTGTAGTCACTTGAAAATTTATTGTTTTTTCGGAATTCACATGCATTGCTCGTTTGTTTTCTACAATAATACTTGTGGTAAATGTGATCGGATACTTACACATCGCGCGTAGCATGTCTCTTCACTCGACAAGTCTTATTAAGACGAGTCTTTGATTAATTGGCCTATACACATAACCACTCTGATAATTATGAATTTGCAAACACTTTTTCAAGACTTTAATCCAAGGTAATTTATTTTGTTCACTTCTAGCATAAGATCAACCTGACATCAATGTGATGTCAAGTTGATCATGAGAGTTGATTATTGCAACAACAGATTTATTCACCTCACAAGCGCAAATATAACAAGTTATTAATTTTTAATTTCAGTAAATTTCTGGTACATTCCTGTTTGATGATATTTACAACATTATTTGCTCTTCGACTGGATGGTTTCATAGAATGGAGTTATTGGTCAATATTTAGTCCGATATGGTTCTGGAAAGGTATGGTGATTTTGGGAGCTATAGTTGGAAGTTATGTTTGGTGGAGACATCCCCACGCAAGATTGGAGGGAGATGCCTATGTACATTATAAAGCAATGCTGATCACTCTGGCATTACATTTGATTTTACTGATGTTTGAGTTGTTGGTGTGCGACAAGTTAGAATCGGAGAGACACTTATGGATACTTGTATTCATACCTTTAATATTTATTTCAATAGTTTCAATTGCAGTAAGTAACCGATTTGTGTCTGTGTGTGTGTGTATGTTACCTACCGCTGTCTATCGCATCTTTTCCTTCAGATAATGTTTTTCAAATGTAGGTCTGCATCTGGGCTGTAAAACATGATCGATCTTTTGAGCTGGAACTATTCTGCGCAGTGAACATATTGCAGTTCATTTTCTTAGCTCTTAGATTAGATGGTTTTATAACATGGAGTTGGGAGGTTGTATTTGTGCCTCTGTGGGCACTTCTGTGCTTATCCTTGGTAGCTGTTTTATATGCAATAGTGTTTGCTGCTGTTTTATTGAGGACGCCACAAATCAACGCCCGGCAGAGGCGAACATCCTTGAATTCAGCATTAGCATATACTTTTCTTGTTGTCCCTATTTTAGTGTTCCAGGTATAATAATAAATGTGCATCTTTTTTCATCTTAAATTTTTTAAATTACAATCGAAGGTTTTAGCAGCACTGACTTATTAATTGTTTTTATTGTATTGTAGGTGTTGTTAGCAAATAAATTGGATGGAGATATATCAATAAATTATATAACAGTGGCGATGCCACTCCTTGTGTCGCACATGACTCTTATTTTTATGTCATTTAATGCGAAAGGTGGAAATAGATGTAAGATATGATAATGTAATATAACTATTTGCATAATATAATGGCTTTATTTTGTTTGTAACATGTTGACTCCATCTTGTTAAAGTGGCGGTTAATTTTATTTAAAATATCATTGATTGAAAAATCGTTTTGCAGGGTGGTTCGGCATAAGAAAAGACTTTTGTCACTTCCTGTTAGGTTTATGTCCCTTACTTCAAGAATACGGTAATATTTCGTATCAGCCGAGAGATGAGCGAGATCAACAGCCGTCGGAACCGATGATCACGGAAAAGGGTGAAAAGCTTATTAAAAAAATTGACCTAATGAAACCTGTTGTGCCTATAATTTCCATAGACATGCCTGACTAACTGGCTTAAGCAGGTACGCATTAATGTAAAACAGAAAGAATATAAAAGAGTGAGCATCCTAAATATATCAGTAGAGATGCATCTTGTGCCTTTACCTTAAACAATGATTTTTTTTCCAGGCCTTAAAAATGAAAAGAGAAACGAATTAAAGAGGTATATATGTATGATGGTTGGGATATATACAAGACTGAACACTTCGCATCTCTAGAATAGCATATTGTTTAGGTATTTCAAAAGAAATTTAAAAAAAACAGAAGTCACAAAAACTTGGGATAATATAGAGAAGCGATATATGTATATTGCTGTTAATGTTGCTGGACATCATAATGTTAAATGCCCTACTCATTTATTATAATAATGTAGAAATAATATGTTATATACAGACTGTTACATTACAATAATATGTTATATATATATAAGAATTGAATACTACACAGGGGTCTACTGTAAAGAAACAAAAGTAGACAAATACTAATAAAAAGTTGTGTTATTTTCTATATATATACTTCTATATATATGACATTTGAAAAATATATGATCTGATAGAGTTTCTAGTTTTTTGTTTTTTTGTAATAACAACAATCGTTTAATTTTCTGTAACTATTAGTATCTAAAATCGTATCTCTCTGAAGACACAATATGTACAATGAGATGTTTCTTTTAAAAATATCTTTTTTGAAGTAACATTAACAATTATACGGAACTTATCGCGATATATTCTCATAGCACAGAACACAACCAAGTTTTTTTATACACTGGCAGAGAGAAGTCTGAGAGCGGCCAGGTCCATAAGAGAATGTGTAATCACTTTTCCGCCTCGTAAACTAGCGCATGTCTACGGGTGGTACACATTGGAACTACGCAGCCAGTCCACGAGCGACACGTCGGTGCGCTATGTCCACAGCGTGCGGTTCTATTCTGTACATTCCGAGAGCTACAAGTGCACTAAACCAACCTCTCTGGTTGTACGTTATGTTGTACTGTTCGGAAAAAATTAGCTTAGGATTTTGATATGTGTATTCCATTTTTTAGTGCATAGAAATAAACCATTTAAATATAGTTGTTAGAAAATTACGAATATTCTTTGGTAACAAGAAGAAATGGAAGCTGTATTGAAAGAATTAGCCGTAGCATTGTACGACATTGAGGCAGTGAAATTTGGAGATTTTAAGACCAAGGTCGGTTTAAAAACACCAGTGTATTTCGATCTGCGAGTGATAATCTCGTATCCCAAATTGATGGTAAATATATCGTAACTATATATATGAGTATGTAGGTATATGTTCAGTTTCACGCATATGTAATCACACAAAAAGCTATTTGAATAATATATATTAAACTGTTTATTATCATCATTGAGTAATATATTAGAATATATTATTGACACTCTGTGTCTGTGTCTGTTACAGTCTAAATTGGCAAAAGTTTTGTGGACTCTTCCAGAAGACACAACCAAAGTATCCAAGATTTGCGGAGTTCCATATACAGCACTGCCATTGGCTACTGTAATATCGGTGGAAAATGATATCCCAATGCTGATGAAAAGAAAAGAAGCAAAGACACATGGCACAAAAAAATTGATCGAAGGTGCTTTTTCTCCTGGTGAGAACTGTGTGATCATTGAAGATGTTATTACAAGTGGCAGCAGTATTTTAGAAACTATTGAAGCTTTGAAGAAGGAACATTTGAATGTGACAGAGGCGTATGTGATAATTGACAGGGAGCAAGGTGGGAGAAAAAACCTTGAAAATCATGAAATCAAGGTAAAGAGTTTGTACAAGATTAAGCAGTTGATGCAATATCTTTTTGAGGCCGGTAAGATCACACAGGAAATTGTCCAAAGTGTGAATGATTATTTAGCAGCGAATAAAGTGCCAAGCTTGTCTATTCAAGGTAGTGGTTTTAAAAATTTAATTGTAGGTTAAGTTTTCATGCAAATTATTTTCACATCAAACTAATATACAATTGTTTTTACTTTCCAAGGTGTACCACATGATAGATTGCAAATGTCATATTCTAAGCGTGCAAAATTAACAAAAAATTCGTTGGCCTCAGAACTGCTGGAACTGATGGAATCCAAGCAAACCAATCTTTGTCTGGCAGTTGATTTAAAAAAAGCGGACACGATTTTAGATTTAGCTTTTGTAGCTGGACCTCACATTGCTGTGCTGAAGACCCACGTGGACATTATCGAGGACTTCAGCAGTGACTTCGTCCTTCAGCTCAAGAAATTGTCAAAAGAACATAGATTCTTGCTAATGGAAGATCGCAAATTTGCCGACATAGGCAATACGGTGTCGTTACAATACAGGCACGGCCTGTATAAAATCGCTGAATGGGCCAACCTGATCACAACGCATCCGGTGTCAGGCGCGTCTGTTATAGACGCGCTGAGAAACGGTTTGAAGGACATAACTGAGCCTCGAGGTATTTTCTTGGTCGCCGAAATGTCGTCCAAGGGCGCACTGACTACGGGTGATTATGTAAAGAGCGCTGTATCGATGGCCGAGGACGCTTCCGATCTGGTAGTGGGTCTGGTGTGTCAATCTAATCTCTCGGGGCAACCTGGACTTCTTCAAATGACGCCTGGCGTCAAGTTGTCTCAAGGTGGCGACGAACTGGGACAGCAGTATAACAACCCTGAATCGGTGATCAATGCGGGCGCCGATTTAGCTGTCGTTGGGAGAGGTATTACGGAAGCGTCCAATTGGTTAGAAGCAACTGTGGAATATAAGAAACAGCTATGGGAAGCTTATGAAAAACGAACAAAAGCACATGTTAAAAAACGATCCAACATTGACAGATATTAAGCTCTATTTCAGCTGGATGTGCTTCACAGAATTATTTCGTGTCTGACACCCATATCTGTTATCTGTTTAGTACACATATACAGTGACGTCTTGTACATATATATACATATGTATATATATATATATATTTACCACATATATACAAAAATTTGGTTACATTCAATATACAGTCGAACCTCAAGGGGCTAAAATCTTAGAATTTATAGAAGTTTCGACTTATCGAAGTTTTTTTCCTTTCCGCGGTGCGGAACAAAATTTTTGTTTTATAGAGGTTCGAGTTATCGAGGTTTGTAATTTTTTTATACATAACGAAAGACAATAATTTATTTTGTTTGACAATAGCATTTATCATCTTTACTATACAAACTGTACGTTATGTGTTTTATGATTTTTACATATCAAAAATATGCGCGAGTGAATTTTGTTGTTGAAATACACACGCACAACACATTGACTCCAAAAACAATGGGTCCAAGAGAAGAAATATTTTTTTATATAAAAAATATTTTTTTTTAGCGAAATATATGGTGTAACTGCAGAGAAATCAAGATGTATATATTTTGTTATAACAAATTTGTTACAAAGTATATCCTTTCGTATATCGTAAGAAATAAATTTTAATACGCGTGATAAAACACGAAAAAAATGTTTTTTCTTCATTCTTAATCTCAGTTCTCGCATATTAATTGATTATTGCGCGTGTGTATAATCTCTCTCGAAGAAAGTCGCGCGACCGTTCTGACGTTGGCCGCGTATCTCTCTCTCGTCAATCAGCAAGCGATTATTTCTTTCCCGCGCGATAATGCGCGTCAGGTGTTAGTCGGTTGCCGCTTGTCGTCGCGCGTGGATCGTCAAAACATCGCGAACAAGCGTGTGTTGCGCCAACAAACGCTTCAGACATTCCTCCGAGGAAACCCGAATACGTCGAAAGGTAACACAACGATAAGCCGAGAATGTACTGATAGTTTCGCGCCATTAACGCAGGTAATCAATTATCTTCAATCCATTCGCGCGCATACACACACACACGCGTAACTTCCGACTAACTCATAGCGGTCGGTCGTTACCGTTGAAAAAAACTTACGACATGAAATCTTGAAGCAGCTGAAGAATCATTTACAATCGCGCGATTTAGCAAACGCGGTATTGAATCGAGTTGGAAGTTTCTCGTGATGTAATGTTTTGTACGTTTTTGGCGCGTCTTTTTTGTGTGCGCACATTTGCTACATAACAACAACAATAACAATGCAATGTTTATTGTTATTTCACGCGCAACACACTCCGGTCTGGTGTTTTCAGTTCACTCGAGACGTGTTCTTTTCGTTTGCGACAATCAGCGGAGCGCGAGATGACAACGATGACGGAATTTGAGGAAAGCGTGTCCTTCGACGCGGACGATCCGGATTTTGCGCCTTCCGCGGAGGCACGAAACGTCCTTCACGACGTGAGACGTTTCGCGGATGCCGAACCCAACGTCAGTAAAGGTAAGCACATTCTTAATCGCGTCAGTTTATCTTACCAACAACTTATTTTGGTCTTTGCACGATCGTTTATACTCGCAACTTTGCTACATACGCGTCTAAATAGCTTATATTTGACGCGTTATTATTACCGTCTATATAAGTTTTGTGCTTAAAACTGTTTTTAATTGTGGAATAAAAAAGGAAGTGGAATAACAAAATACTTTGTACGTAGATTTTTTAATTAATATTAAGTTTGATATACAGAAGTAATTTAATTGATTCTTAGACAAGTAAAAACTCCTTTATCTAATCGCCTCGTGAGATATATCGAAAGCAAATCGCTATTGTATAAATATTAAAAAAATGCAAGTATATTCGATATATATATAAAAGTATCCCAAGAGAGATGTTCCAATTGTTTCATTGATACTCAATTATATGAAAGTAGAATTTAATTGAGCGAATTTGAAATTTTTTGTATAACAATTTGTGCATATTCGTCAATGTTTTGCAAGAGCTTCAAAGACTCAAGAAAATGTTACACCGCATATTCGATGTGTCGCACAAAAGCGATCGTTCCGCTGTTTCGGATAATTATACGCGTGACCAAAGCGTGCGATATCGCAATTTTTAACGTGACGCGTTTTTTTTTTTTTTTTTTAATTATTTGTGACACATAAATTTTCATCCGTGCGAATATCTTCGACGAGTTGCGATGCGATAACTAATAAATGCAAAATTCGCTGACGCAAATCGCTCGTACTTTCATCTTTGGATTTTCATTCGACGAATAAATTGACTACGCGCGCGGAAATTGCATAGATTTTACAAAGACTATTTGATTTACAAAGTAACATATTCACAAATTGGAATTTTCCTCGTGAACATTCTCGACTACGCGAAGTTTCGATTAGATTTATTTTATTTTCAAGGTTCACACAAACAACATTAAAGCAACGTTTTAAAGGAACATTTAACTCACATGAAAAAATAAGAGAAAAAATAAGATTTTATTTAGATTTAGAGTCTTAATCGCGTTTGTAATTTTTCTTTTATTTTAATATTACAAAAGTCTTAATATTACGTTTTACACGGTAAATAAATTAACTTTTTTCTGAATTTACTTACGTAAAATAAAAATCTAAACTAAATTTAAACTAAAAAAATTTAAACTAAAAGTCAAATTAACGGAGAAAAAATTATTTAGTATACGAGAAAACGATTTTCAAATTTTTCAATTGTATATATTTATAATAATGTTTTTAAAATCTCTTTCTGATTACATGTACACTACATAATGTACATGTACATGTACATTATTTTTTTTTAATCACTCGTTACTTACCTTTTCAGAGGAAATAATAAAATACTGAAAAAAATAGAAAATATTTTAATATTTTTAAAGATTCTCATCTGTCGACAATCTGTCGCGAATTTAATTTTGGGGAATCAATTCTTCCCTCGCACACAGTTGATGCCAATTTAATCCGTCTACTTTTTTGCGTATTCTCGCTATTAATAATTCACGTGCGAAGAGTTCTCTCGTGAGAAGAGAGTGAATCAGCGTCGGCTCTCACACAATCGGACAAAAACCGGAGATCTTTTTTCTCGGAAGGATTGGTCGCGCGAGTCTCGACCCAGACGAGACGCGTTCCTTATCGTCGCGTCGTCTCTCACAACCGCAGACTCTATTATCAATATTATACCAACGCGAAGGGCATGAAACTCGATCCACCGACAAAATTGGATCCCACGGCGGCTATCGCCTTTCTTCTTCCAGAGAACTTCGTGTGCGATGGTAGCCGCGCTATATGGTCAAGTAATACGTGTCTCGCACGTGCACCATCCGTGCAGATAAAGAGTGTCTTTCATTATATGATTGAAATAAGATCAGCAAGGCTCTCTCTTTCTCTCTCTTTACTCTGTTTACAAAGATACATCTTTTAGTTTTTTGTTTTCTTTGTACGTGCAAATTCAATTTTTTACGTTTTACCAAAATTCATCAATTTGTGTAGAAAAATTAATTATATACACATTAATTATATATTACATCAAATTACGTTGGTTATACATATTATATACATATATAGTATATGAATATAATTTGTTAATTTATATGCTGTTATACGTTTGTGTATAGCAGGTTTCTATCGTACCAACTACTTGATTGTACAATGTCGTCCGTTAGATGGCAATCAGGTGGCTCTGTTTCTAAGTAAAAAGAAGATATACGAAGTCTCGAGACGCAATTTTCACATCTGCAAATTTTTTATGCAAATCTCATCGTAGATTCTACGCGTTTCAGAAATTGCGTTTTTTGTTGATTTCTGTGAGTAGAGTGTTTTATTGTTTATTTTCTCAAGATGTGCACATTAAAATCTTACACAACGGTTTTTCTTTCTTTCTGACAATTCGTCAACCGAGTTCGCGAAGTATTTTATTTCTCATTTAAATAAAACCTCGGCAGAGTTCGCGAAATGTTTTATTTCTCATTTAAACAAAACTGTTCTATTTTTTCGCGCGATTTACGAAGGGATTGTCAGTCAGGTGAGAAACATTTCCACTTAGCAACAGACTTTTGTCTCGCGATATTTATTTATCAATTTATCTCACATTGATGTAAGAGTGATTCAACGATTCAAAGTATAAGCGTGAATGATTTTCGTGGCTGACGATGAATATCTCATCGACGATACAACGCAATTCGGTGTGTGCGCGCGACGATCTCATTAAAACACAAACTGTTAACATAAATAATTCAATAAGAATCGACCAATAAGTCATTTTTCATATTTAAGCATCGAATACGACGAAAGCGTTATTCGTCCGAATAAAGTAGCAGATAACGAGGCAGTCAGTCACGCGAGACATTGTTTTGACGATTTTTACTTGCGAATCCGTCCCGTCTCACAGCGAAAAATATGAATATTTATACGGAATAATTATCGCGAATCTTTGCATTGTTAGCATGACATGCTATTATTGATTATTGATATCGTCGTTCGTGACACATGATCCCGCGAAGCTTTTCGTGAATCACGTTTACATCGGCAAAAATAATTCGATCGTGTTTTTGTTTGATGCGCGGCGATTCAAATATACGAGACATCGATTAAACTTTTCGCACAACTCGGTCGCGAAACCTCGAAATAAGCGCGGATTAGCTCGTTATCAGCGCGACGTGTTATGCAAAAGATCAGAAAAATATACTTTATTTTATCTGTGAAACAAAAAATGTAATTTACATGCAAAATACGATGAAATGATAAATCGTTCGGGTTGCTTTAGAAATCGAATTGTCATCAAATTTCCCGTAGCACATGTTCTCTCGTTCGCACGCTATCATTTCAACGAAGAGCAGATATTCGCTTCCGAAAGGTCGGTTCAATATTTGTTTATTGTCTAACAATCGCGGGTTGCACTTCGAAAAAAACGATAAAAAAACGTATAAAAAAAAAGTACGGATATGATAGCGCACGTGGTAGAAAGTTGGAACATGAGCCGCGCGTGTCATGAATTGAACCCCGTTGTTGTCTCCAAGAAATCGGTGTTCGATTGTTTAAACTTGATGATTCATCTCATTTCATTCAATTTTTAGTTCACCATCTAGACGGCAGACAATGATGTCTTAAAAAAAACTCATTGAATCACGTGTTTAAAGATATCCAGCGTTACTTTTCTGAACATAAAAAAAAAAGAAAACCGCATTGTTTTTCTATAAATTTAAACGTCGCGCGCCGTCCGGATGATACAAGACGGAGGCGGTCTTGTCGGTCGGTAGCTTGTGCAATGTCAAGTTCGAGCTTTGAATACCGTGACACGGTTGTGTCGTCGCAATATGTACTCGCGTGTATGTGTGTGTGTGTGTCTCTCGCGCGTCTCTCTCATTGAAACGTCTATAAATAAAAATTTCATTGATACACGTGGAGAAATCGTTGGTGTATTTACGTAATAATCGCCGAGAGGAAAGAAACCTTAAAAATAAATTGACAAGTAGCAAAAACAAGAGCGTTGAAACGCAAGTTAAATTTATCTTCTTCTTGAAATATATGACAAAACGCGCGCACGCGTTACATGGGACAAACTCGACGTAGCTGGAGTCTTGAATCATTTGATGACAAACGCGACCCCGTTTCTCATTTTCCTCCGTTGCGTGATGATTTAAAAAGGAAATACGTATGCGACTTTGCGATTGCAACATGTGTCAATAACATTCTCCGTTGTCGTCTTGAGTAACGCAAGATAACTGTGACAAAAACAGATTAGCAACTCACTGGGGGTCTGATTATTCATCCCGCTATCGCGCGTATTCTATTATTTCCGGACGCTTATATTGCTTTTCTTTTATTTTATTTTTTTTTTTTTTCGTTTTTTATCGACTGGTTTGTTTTTGTTCGCACAGCGCGTTGGCGTCATATATTTATGAAGTAAATTGTGCAATGTGATGTTTTATTTTGAAAAAAACAAATAATCGGATTTTGCGTGACGCCGCGTTGGCCTTACGCTATTTTTCAATAACCGAGATATCGTTTTGCACGACGGTCGTTCGAGAGCTGCCGCTTCGCTTCGCATAGCAAAACAAGATACAGAAAGTTTCGAGGAAAATATATGTGGAGGAAAATGCAAAAATGCTCTGTTTCTCTGCTCTACACGCGTCCCGCATATATCGGACAATAACGTATGTACACCTGTGTGTACCGAGACGCGTACTCGAGAAACACACGAGTTACCGATACGAAACACACTTTTACTTCTTGCTCTATTAAGTTCCACTCGACACTACGCTCGCGTCATGTTGCAAAAAAAGACTTTATTTTAGCCACTTTTGTTTTTTACCGTCGCGTTCGAAATATATTCTGTTTCCCCTCGTATCCAATTATTATAATTTTCCTCCATCTCATCTTTTTTGTTTCCGATTAATTTTATGTTACTATTTTATTGTTTTCTTTTAAGTGTGTTGAGAGAGAGAGAGAGAGAGAGAGAGAGAGAGAGAGAGAGAGAGAGAGAGAGTAGAGGATCCA